GCCCTTCCTGGCGCACAGCACCCGCCGCTCGCGGACGTGCTGCATGACGCAGCCCCTCCCGCGCCCAGCCTTTTGGGCCCGTAGTTCGCAGGTTCGCAGGTTGCACGGGGACTTGGACCTTGCGGACATCAAAAAGGTGCGCGAAAAAAAAATGTTTTCGGGGACCCGCATGTTGGGAGGCCGCATTCAGGACTCACAGCGGGCAGGAACAAGTCCGCATTCAGCCCGACAGATACCCAAAGCGTGGCCATCGATCCTGCCCGCTCGATCGCCGCTGTGACTTCAGCGCATCTCTTCGTTCGCGGTGTTTGGCTGGAGTTGCTGCAACTCGCGTCGACTTGAGCGGCTCGGTTGTAGCTCAGCCCGAAAACCGCCGTTTGTGTTGGCTGCTGTTCGCGTTGGCCAGACTACCACCGCGCAGCCCAACGGACGAGGCGTCAGCGCTTGCGTCGTCGCGACGTGCTTGGGCACTTGCCCCGCTCTTTCTGCGAGCTTACGTTTGCAATTTGGCCTTTGCCCATGTCTTACGTACCGCCACTGACCTCGATCCGCCCGCGCGCCGGTCCCCCCTACGTCCAAGGCACAAAAACCTGGCAACCCTTTCGGCTGCCTCGAGGGCCCAAGTATAGTTTTTCTTCGCTACACGGAAAGCGGCAGCGGCCGACCAGTACCAGCCAGCCTGAGCTGACACTTCGCACCTCCGATTTCGCCAACAAGCGCGTGCGCTCACTCTCCATTCCATGGGCGGAGATCCGCATTTGGGGGGAGAGGGAGACACACTTTTTTTGCAAAACGAGGGGTGGCAAGAATGCCGTCCGGGCAAAGCCGCGCGACACGAGGCGCTGGAAGGTTTCGCCAGTGGCGATGCCACGTACGTGTCCAACATTTACAACTACCAACTACCCACGCTACGCGGCCTCAGCGACAGCTTGACTTTGGCTCGCGCGAGGCGGTGCAGGCCAAGCCGACCCCAGCGCCGTGTTGTTCACAACTTGTTGCATTTTGTTGCATTCACAGTCCAGGGCGCATCCCAGCGAGGCTGGCTCCGCTTTGCCCCCAGACCACATGCGGCGCTGCGGTTGCCCTTGAATGCCAGTCGCTTCATACAGATGCGGCGCACATGGACACACGGATACTGTACCCACGTTGACGCTTACAGTGACCATCACGCCGCATCCGCCGATCGCCGCCGCCTTGACTTCGTCGCTTACGAGGCCACGCCGCTCGGCGAGGCGTTGTGCTGCGACGTGACATGGGAGCAGTGCCGCCGCGAAAGGGAGGGGAACATCGGGGAGCGCCAGCTGCGACGTTGTGGAAGCCTCCGCAGATTGAATCGGTGGAACTCCTGCCTCCGGCGCTGCACGGGCCGGGATTGCCCGTTTCCCCCTGGCGGGACCACAAGGCCGGGAGCAGCTTGATAAAACCATCGATGTGGCTGACGAGCTTCGTCACCTCGTGCCGACAATGCAGGACACGTCCCCGTTCCTGCGCGCACCTGTGCGGAGCACCCCTGTGTATGCACTCGCGGAACTGCCAGAGGCTGGCACGCCCGAGCAAAGCTGCAGTGCAAGCATCACTGGCCTGGATTTGTTCCGGCTCGTGCGGCGCATGTTGTTGACACGGACGGCGACAACAAGGATCGCAGGGTGCGCGGAACTGTTGGGCCGGGCGTCAGCTTTCCAACGCGGCGAGTGGACCCAACTGATCCGAGCTGCGCGGCCTTCGGCCTTCCCGATGTGCGCCTGTCCGCCAACCGCCGCCTGACGAAACCGCCAGCACAAACGCGACCAGGTGTCCGAACAAATCCGTCCAGGGGGGTTCATGTGCATGAAACGAAAAATGTTATGTCGTGTTACATTTGTCAGTGTAGCCCAATAAGCAATTATCTGAATGGCTTTGTCCGTGGGTATTTGAACAAGAACCAGGGCGGTAAGCGTTGTCAAATTTTTAAGTATTCACAAGCAGGTTTCTGCTGCAGCCGAAAGATGCTCTGACAGCATGGGGGTGAACCTGTGCGTGCAGGCGACAAATTCCTTCAAGGCCGAAAGCACTTTCCAGTGATATCAGCTCGAAGAAGGAGCTTTGGCAGTTCTCTGTGAGGAGGATGACGTGTGTCTGATGCCCGTCACAGAGGGGGAGCCGTCTTCCCAAGACATGACATAGTCGTCATTTGTGAGAGCTCTCCCGGCTTAACGGAAGTGTTCTGCAAGGTGGGAACCAATGCAGGCCAAGAGTCGCATCAGAAACAACCTCCGGGTCATGTGAAAGTCGTGTTTGTTAGGTTGACCATATCAACACACTGAAAGATGAACGAATCAACGCATGGTCGCCCAACGCTCGGGATGGATTGCATTGCCTGGCAGGGAAGGTTCTGCATGAAATGGATATGCATGGTTTCACGTATGCATTCTTGCCAAGGAGGTATGCGGAGCCCCCACAAACTGGCAGCTGGTTGGCATTTGTCGAGTTCTCGCAAGCTTTTCTGTCCTGGTGATTTGGCTTCTGAAGGGCAGTGCCCAATTGCGAAGTCCTGCCAGGCTGCTTCGGAAAGTGTTGTGGCCTCAAAGTTCCAAACCTTCCCGAGATGGAAAGACACTTCCATATTCATGAACCTATGAACTTAAACAGACGACTGTCGAGGCTGTAACGGCGGCTTCAAAACCGAGGCGCCGGAGGCTCTCCAAATCACACTAACTGTATGGGTGTGTTTTAATTTTGAGCTCATCGGATGTTGTCGTGTATTGGTAATGAGTATATCAGGGTATATGAATGTTTACTATCGTATGTTTCATTGTAGTCTGTTATATTAGGTTTACATTACAGTAAATTATCGTATATCATACTATGTTATAGTAAACTATAGTATGTTATGATATATGATAGTATGTGGTGGTATATGGTGGTATATGACAGTATGTGATAGTATAAATAGATATAAATAGTATATGATAGTTTGTCATCGTATGTTATAATATATTTCAAGATATTTTTGGTGTTCAGGTATATTTTAGCACATTATTACATGTTATAGTTTGTTGTAGTATAGTAGATAGTATACTATAGCATATTTTTTGGCATATTATAGCATATTACAGTATACTACAGAATATCATAGTATATTTTTTAGCGTGCGATAGTATAGTTTTACGATAATAAATATATTATGGTCTATTCTAGTATATGGTGGAATATTATAGTATACGTACAATAAGTATATTATATTATGTTGTACTAGTATATTCGTGTACATTTTCATGTATTCATGAACTGTTACTATAGGAAGAAGGGTTCATTCAGCGGTTTCATTCAGTGCATCAGGCATTCCTGGCAGACTCACCGGACACGGGTGTGATCGTGGAGCAGGAGAGGGTCAGGGCGGCACGGTGTCATGATCTGCCATGGAGGGTACAACTTGAGTCTCAACACTTGTAATTAGTTACTAGTTTGACGATGATCAGCGACAGGGTTTCGCCCAAGCACATGCTTTCCGGGAAGATCCCACGATGGAAGACGTAGCTATGAGGCAGGCCTGTGCTAGTGTTGTGTTTTGGGCGATTGAAAGGCTTGCTCGAATTGTTAGAGTGTCTGGAGAGATGCTCTTGTATCGGGTTGGTTTGCTGGGAAATGCCTGTCCGTGAATGCTTCGACAGCATTGCTGGCATGTCAGGTGAAGTTTGGACAAGAAGACGCCGTGAGCGAGAAGTTTTCCTAAAACAATATAGGAGAGTGCGGAATGCAAGTTCCGTCACATGGATGCCCGGCGTCGTCAATCCCCTAAGAGAGGCATCATGTAGGCAGAGCATGGGGCTGTTGCTTGTCACACCCGCGTATACCCTCGTTCCAGAAGCAGGTGCGATTTTGTACAGTAGCTGTGTAAGGTGCTGGTGTTCGGAACTTGCCATGCAACTTTTGGAGCATGACAGCAGTGCGTGCGAGTATGCCTGGAACTTCTGATGCAGTTCTCTGCAGCTGTTCTATGTCATGGTTTCGTTCAGCTTCACAGCATTCAGCTTCACAGGAGGACTCGTTTTGAATTTGCGTCTGACTTCTGAATCGAATGGATACATGTGTGGCGCCGGGATCGTGCCATAGTTGGCTGTCGTGTCAAAAACGGGATGGGCAACGCAAGCAGTAATACATGATTATGGCGTTGCACATTTGCCGCCCAAATGGGTGCAGTCTCACCGCACGGAACATGTCACAGGCGGCGAGAACATGAACACTTCTCGGGATTATGATCGTTTGCCGTTGGTAGCTCCTTGAGGAACGAAGTTGAAGCTTATAAGAGTGGTGATGCGCATGTTTGAGACGAGCATGTTCCCATTTTAGTTCCACTGCGGAGCAAACAAGCCTCGACGTGTTGAGTTGAAGAAGAAAAACACTTAGGCAAGTGTATGCAATTTGTGCAAACATACTCAATGCTTGCTTGAGGTTCTGAAGATTGCATCTGCGCAGTTGCTTTTGAGTGCCTGTTGGCGTGACCGCAGGTGCCACATGTGTGTCTGCAACCTTCTCTCTGATGATCCGCCGGAGCGTGATGTGATTGGTTTTGTTTCTGGTGACAGAGGTTTTGAGTGGCAAGTAGGCAAGCATCAAAACCAGAAGTTGGACCCTAGCTTGCGGAGGTTTCCGGAGATGCCAGCACACAGACATTGCAAACACAACGTAACCTTCGCCTAACCCAACCATCCCTGTACGAGCGTTGCCACATAGGCACTGTCCAAGTGTTTCGCCAAATTTTTCCGCTTCCGCTGCTGAATGTGCCGGCGCAACTGAAGGCGTTTGGGATAAATAGTTGGTTCGCTGCAGCACGCAGGAATAAGGGACTCCTGGAAGTTCTGAAGCTTTTGAACAGGGACATGGAGCTGGAGCCACCGCGCCGGTGAGAGTCTGAGCTTGTATGGCGCTAGCATTCAGTGGCAGCTCGTTCTGATTGCAGGTCGGGTCGCGACAGCAAAATGTAGGTACTTGTCCCAGGGCAAGTGGCCTTGAGGCCTCAACATCGAACATCTGGCGCCAGCAGCCAGATTTCCTTCGCCACTACCAATGATGCACCAGCCTTGGTTGAATGAATGTTTTCGCCGTAAAAGGGTAAAGTTTTCGGCAGCTTTGGCAAGTTCCTAAAAAGTAACTCGAGGATGGGACAAACGCCAGTCCAAGGCACTGCTTGTATTCCGCTCAGGCCCCGCGAGCAACTGCAAGCGTGGCTTCGTTGAGCAACAAGTCGGACAACAAGTCCTCCACTGGTTCAACAACAAGAGAGACTGTGAGAAAGCCTTCCAAAGCGGAGGTGAAGGATGCCTGGGCCCCGGTGCAGTGGTCCGCTTGAAGTTACCCTGAACCCTAAAGTCGAAACCCCAAGCCATGCCAAGCCTTAAGCTTCCCAACTCCTCAACCTCAAGCTAACAGCTAGCAGATTCCGAATGTCAGTGCTCCAGCGGCCGCAAAAAAGTCCTAAGCCCAAAACCCTAGACCGTGGCGGAAGTCACAGCTCCCGAAGCTTGACAGGCCAGGCCCCGGCCCGCGAAATGGTACGTGAAGTGCTCGGGCCGTCTGGTTGAGAACACAGCCTTTATTAGCCTGCGCCTTGGGAACGGCTTCGTGGTGTGCTGCCATGGTCTAGCATGCGCATGCTTTGCTGCTCCGAAGGTCTCACAACGATTCTGACTATCTACGCCCTGACCGGGGATGACCTGCGAGTGCTTCTAACGGAACCCAGTTGGCAAGCCGTGTTCGGTTAATGTTGCTGTGGGTTTCAGCTCATTTCGATTCCAAACATCAAGGAGAAGCCTGCAGACAACTATTTCAATGGTATGGCCGCAAGCTCGCTGATTGCTTTGAGAGTGAATTATATGCAGAGCTCCAGATGTTCGTCTTCATCTGTTCCAACGGTGTGAACCTGGCTTAGGTCTTGGCTTGCTTAGCCATTTTCACGTTCGAGATTTTCATTTCCGTCCTGGGCAAGGCAGGAGCAGGAGCTACTACAGCTACTGCATGAGTTTTCGCGGGCCTTGTGCAGTAAGGGTAGGCAGAGTCGTGCTCTCCGGAATCCCGCTTCCCGGTGTTGATTCTGGATCGAGGCCGACTACTGGCTTGGATTCTTTTTTATTTTGGACGTTGTTTCCACCGCCACATTGGTGCTCGATTTGACGTGGGCTGGAGCCTCAGTTGAGATGGGTCTCGCCTTTGGATAGTCGGTATATGGTCCCCCCAGGTGAACGAAGCAGCTTTCGGCGGGACCACAAACACAGATACGTCTGAAGAGGGCATCTGGGCCTGCATGAGCTTTGTTGCGGGTACCATTTCCGTGCTGCCGATCTTGCCGCAGAATGCCGCATAAACACCGCGATTACTTTCTGTGATTATCCGAATGTAGAGCTTCGAGGCTGGAACGCAAAGCCAGGTGGAAAGTAGGGGCTCTGGCCTTCTGAGGCGATACCCTGCGAAGCGGCAGGCGGGTACGCAATGGGTTTGGGAAAAAGTCCGCGTGAATGGGCTGTAAGGCATCGCTTGCAACTGTCTCCTGCATTCTCCAGCATGCACCCCTCGCGAAGTCTGGCCCTGACGCTGTTGCTGCCTGCCTTCCAGCCCAGAACAGCCCGAGAAAACCATTGCTATTTCAGAAGCGTCGGTTTTGCTGGTCATAAGTATATGAGTAGTACTGTGCTTGCCAGGACGGCGCGGGTTGGCGCCAAAGCCGCACGGATGATCCGCGTGCTTAGATTGGACGGAGCCTCAGATCCACTGACGGAACTGTTGCTTGCGCATGCACGACGTCTTGAGCAATGCAGTCTAGGGCCATCTTTTTCCATATCTTTTTCCGACTAGTGCGAACTGTACATGGCAACGCCACTGTGCGGCTTGACCTAGAATACCGCAGACAAGTCCACAAATGATAAGTGAAAGGGTACTGCAGTGGATGCGGGGATCGGAAAAGACTCCTGCTGCGCACCGCCATAGCTGCCCAGCCCCTGGATCCGAACAACCTAGTCTTCAGTCCTTTTCTACTTCGCCTTCCCTTCAGGTCAGAATCCTGAAGCTCTACAAAGCCTACTACGAGGCAAGCGGCCGTGCGTGCAACCTGACGCCCTGGGCCCCAAAAAGGCAAAGCGCAGGCGCGTCATGGCCTGGGCCAAGCATGGTCATTCGTGGCCGTTAGTGGATGTGGTGGCACGGCAGATGACCTAGACTTAGTGGAGCAATAAGCATGCGCAATGGCTGTTGCCAAAGCCTTGGGAGTGACGCAGTGTAAAATCAAGGACCATAGATTCGACTCGACTTCTTCAGGGTTTCGGGATTTCGGGTTTAGGGGTTTAGGGATTTTTTCATTCCTACATAGCAAGCGGTTTAGGGATTAGAGTTTAGGGATTAGGGTTTCGGGTTTCTGGTTTCGGGCTTCGGGTTTAGGGTTTCGCCTAAGGGTTTCAAAGAGGCAATCCTGCGTCTCTTACCGGCGAGTTTCCTCGCTGCTCGTCTCAGCTCCGGGTTTGAATTTGAGGCTTTGGGTTCACTCCAAAGCTTATCCTTTAAGCCGAAATCTTAGGAGCCTTGCAGTCCAGGCCGACCGAGAGCGCAAGCGGCGGCGGCAGGCCGCAGCTGCCTCAGCAAACGCAACGCCACGGGGATTGCTACTAGAGGTGCTAGTATTGTCGGTGATGATGATGATGATGAGGAGGCTATTCTTACCAACGCTGTCATGAGTATTATCACTCGTTCAGCATTGTGTTGTTGTTAATGCCGGTGTCGTTGTTGCTGCTAGTATGGGCGCCGCCGAAAGATCTAGGTTTGTCGAGGCAAGTCAGATTGGTAGCATGCTGTTTGTCGATCTTGCCCGGATAGATAAAGGTGCTTGTTCCTCACACTATCCGGGTGTAAAGATGACATGAACCACAGTGGCTGTTGAGGGCCATGGTGTGAGGCTGTTCTTGCAGGCATTGATGCTTATGTATTTAAGCTTGCCTGATCTTCCAAAAGCGGCTGCCGAGTTTTGAGGCGAGCCTTGAGTCTCCTACAGTCCAAGTGACCCGAGGCACTGCAGGGAAAAAACAAAGAGAATGATGATGATGAGTGGGACGAGGAAGATGTGGTCCAAGCAGGCAGGGCTTTGGGAATCAAGGATGTGGTGCCAAGTTGTCAAGATCAGCCTCGGGCAATGCTGATCCCGGACTGTTCGCAGGCTAAGCAACTGTCGGTGAGCTGACAAGCCCAAGGTAAAGGAAATGATAGGCTTCTGAGATGTACTGAGGATATGATGCGGACATGTCAGTATTCGCCAAGTTCGGCATAAAGTGTTCTGTTCTTGGCCGCTGGAAGCGGAAGTGTGCTAGCCATGCAATCATCGCAAAATTCCATTATCAGCATTGTCATTACCATTTTGATCACTTTTTACCATGGTTATCATTATCATCACCATTATGACTCCTTTTGTAGTACCCCGGCTCTTGCCAAGAGGCGTCCCAGAGCTCCCTTCGGAACTCCCGACAAAAACCCTCGCCTGTGCAGATGCCGCCGTATCTGCCCGTGGCTCAAAATCTTTAGGGTTTAGGGGGTATGCCAGGGATGTCTGTTTGGAAGCATGGCTAAGTGGCCGAGCGCGAGAGGACAACAGTGAGCAAGTCGATCGGCTTTCGTAGGCGCCGTTCGATGTACCAAGAGTCATTAGCAAGGCCGAGATGCAACATCAAGAGTCCACGCTCGGCAAGAAGTTGCCACTGGCTTGGAAGTTGCCTGCAGCTTTCTTGCAGCTGCCCTCTGTGACCTCGACAAAGGGAGCTCTCTTGTGTTGCAGGGCCTCGTTCCGCTGGTGCAAGGTCTGAGATGACAACCCGCCGGGTGATCATCCTCATCTTGGCCAGGAGCTCGCAGATGCCGGCAGTAAGATGCCTCCCGAAAACACCAGGTTCATTTATTTCCTACTTGTAGGTTTTTGGGTAGCCACATTCCGTCTTCAAGTTAGGGGCCGTGGATACATTCCACCACAAGGTGTCGAGAATCTGCCGCCTGCCTGCTGCAGGTCATGCTGATCCTTATGCCGCTTTTGCAAAAGGATGAGATTGACCAGCTCCCTGTTTCCACTGCGTAAGGCGCTCAGAAAGGCAGCAATTTCTGATAGGACCTTCAGCAGCAGTAGCAACAGCTGCTGCCAGTTTGGTTGAAGAGGTGGCGATCTTCTCCAAACTTGTGCCAAGGTACGGCTCAAACATAGTGATGAATGCTTTTCAGGCTTGGGCTTGTTCCGAACGAGCGGGAAGTAGAAGTGCGGAGTCATGGGTCGACATCATGTCAGGACTACTTCAACTCGAATGTGTCCATGCAAAATGCCTCTTCACGAGCCTTCTACCAGCAACAGATGCTCCACTTTGCGGCGAACTCAGTCAGCACTTCACAGTGTTCAGTTTGCTGTGCACGGGAGTCGTTGGGTGTAAGCAAAGTCTCACTCAACATTCATCTCCGCAAACAAGCAGCGAAGCGCAAAACTGTCAACCGCTACAGATTGAGAAGGCGAACTTGTTCAGTCTGTCCACAACCAGGGAAGATCAGGGAAGAGCCCGTGCAATGTTCTCTGCCGACGCTTCGACGCCAGGTGTACTATCACAACTGGTTTGCTGGGACTGGCTTGAACAAGTACTGCCCGTGACCCATGTATTTGTGGTATAGCATGGTTTTACCATCGCAAAGAGACCGATTACGAGCGCCTATAGACACCTATGCAGCTGATGATGCTTCTTATGCATAGGTCCGACCATCGCGCACTGAAGCCAGCCCGATAGTAAATGAACTGGGCTGCTTACAGATGCCATTCCCATGTCATGTTGTTTGTTGTAGCGTGGTCTCCTGCCTCGGCTCCAGCATCTTGATTCAGCTTGTACGTAGTTGCACTGGACGTTTCGCTATATGGCATACTAGACTATACGATAGCAATTTTATTGCTATATGAGCTATATGGCATACTATGGCAATTTTATTGCCTGCCCTTCTGCCTGGAGGTACAGCAGCACCAACCTGTCCTGCTCAAGCGCATTTTGGGGCGATGCCCTTATGGTTGAAAGGGAAGTTCCACCGAAAACCCTGGATGAAGTGACCCTCCGCCCTTTTCCAGAGGCTGAAACCTTGCCGATTGAGTTAAGGCCATCTATACTTTGTTGGCCTTCGTGGGCGAAACCTTGCCGCTGTGGACGCCAAGGACCACCAGTGAGCTTCGAGTGTTTGGTGCTGGCTGAAGCTTTGGGGCTTTGGCTTCTCATGCCGTCAGAAATGAATTCCATGTGTTGCACTTTGGCCCTGAACCGGTACGGGTTGCCCAGAAGGCGAGACACTTGCCATTCCCTTGTCAGGCCGCTGCGGCGCAGCTCGATCTTGATACCGTGGCTGCCTTCGACCAGGCTTCGCGAGCACGGGCCTCAAAGCCAGAGGGCAGCCTGGTGCAGCTCTGGTGGCTACTGGAGCTCCCGTACTATGTCGGCTTGATCCGGCTCGTCCCATCTGTTTATGAAGTGTTGCGCGCGGCCAGAATGGGTACTTGGCCTCCTACAACTATGGCGTCATGCCGTCGCAGGTGCAGGCCAGGATGCGACAGTCGCGAGCTGCACTCGTTTTCATTCTGCTACCGCAGCAACTTTCTCGTGCTGCAACTGCGACAGCAGCAGCAATAACAACAGCAACGCCTACAGCTACTGGTTTTCCTGGCCCCCCTCATCCTCACCTCCAGCCGATAAGTTTTTGTGCGGAAGTTCCAGCGACAGCAAGAGTACACGTGTATTTGGCAAGCGTGATGGTTTTGGTGTCCTGTGAGGATGTGTGCATGTTGTCTGTCCGTCGACTTTATCCTTGTCTCTTCTTGAAGTTGCGTTGTCTCATCTCTTGCCTGCAGCCTCCCGTCCCTCAATTCTTGGTCGTCTGTGCGGCCGGCTCGCGAAGCAGCGAAGCACGCTCTCTTGTCTCAATGGGAAACCAGGAGGGAGAGAAGGACATGACAACAAGAGATAAGACCAGAGGTTAATAGTAATAAGGATAATAATGACAAGAATAATAAATATTCATACTTTCATGAATACTGTACCCATCATACTTATGCCAACAATAATAGTAACAATAATAATGGCAATAATAATTATAGTCGTAATAGTAAGAATATTAATGGTAATGATAAGAATAAGGCTTGAATAATAACGATAATAATACGATAATAATGCTATTGTTGCCCTTCCTATTCTTATTCTTATTACTAGTACTATTATGATGATGATGATTATTATTACTAGCATTTCTATTGTCATTATTATCAATTATCATTATGATCATCATTAGTATGATTGTCCTGATAGTTGTTATTCCATTAACTTTGACTAAGTCGCATTACATCATAAGGGAAGGCGTCGAAGACAAATTCCGCAGTTGTGCGACGAGGCGATGCCTTCCGACAGCCACTTGCGAGCTTCGAACGATTGTCAGTTACAGCAGACGCAGTCAAAACATGCTGTATCGTTGTAGGCACGAGCTTTGGTCATGGATGGAAATGGCAGTGTCGCGAAGAAAGTTGCAGTGCACTTGGGGGGTAGCGGGTAGCTTTGCATAAAGTCCTGAAGAATACCACAGAGACCTACTGTCCTGGTACAGTTTATCACTCCGAAGTATTGCTGTCTTGGCAGTCCTGCATATCATCCTTTGTGGATGTTTTTCTTTGCTGCGGTCGTAACCTAGTCAGTCTCACATGACACCACTCTTGCACAAGTTTTCATGACTTGCGAAATACAGTGGTCTAATTCCTATCCCCACAGTGGTCAGACCTTCCTCTCCGGAGAGTGGACCAACAACTGCGGCACACCAGAGTCGCCGCTGCTAGGCCGGCACCCCAGTCTCGTGGAGCTTGGCCTTTGAGGTTTAGCGGAAGAAGCTATGTTTGTTCGCATCTTGGGCAGCCTACGTGAAATGTCGTGAAAAGCAACAGCTGCAAACCCCGGCGTGTGAAGGTTGAGGACTAAAAGGTTTTGGGAGGTGTTGTCTGTGGTCTGGGACAGGTCTCCCAGTAGCAAGAAGGGGAGCATGTCATTTCTGTGTCTGGCCACTGAGCCATGGAGGAAAGTCGAGGTTGGACAGGAGGCCTCGTAGATAACCCGATGTGGCAGGACGCTTTTCCCTACTCAGGCGTTTCACTCCTTGCCGAAGATGTGAACGGCGACGTCTCTTATCCCGTGTTGTGCCCGCAGGCGGGGGCCCAATCAGCACCGCTGAGATTGTTGCAATGAGCCGCAGTGATGACGTGGGATTGTTGTACTGGCAGAGATGCTCCTGGTAGATGCAGTTGAATTCAGCATTCACAAGTGCAATGCCCAGGACCTTCGTGCGACAGACTATTCGGCATCGTGGTTGCACGCAGGGGCAGCTTGAGAATTGCTACGGGCACGTTTTGTTTCCCAACTCCTGAAGCAGACAGGGTCCCAAAAGGGAAGGCTCGGCTATCTTTGCCTTGTCTGCGAGGTTGTCATCCCACTATGGCAGACACGAGCGCAACGAAATGCAGCTGATCCAAATTTATTGAGTTTAGGCGTGGTGTGTGTGCTCAAGCTGGGAAGAGCATGAACGAAGTGAAGAAGTCAGTGCTGTTTCTTTCGCATGTGTGACTGTAGCGGACAGGGTGGTGGTATCGAATTTGCAAACTTGGCTTAGGAGTGGCGTTTCGAGTTCTTCTTTGACATTCGGTCGGGGACTTGGTGCCAGAGGGGAGCTGGCGGTTTTGATGCCCTGGTCGCGTGCAGTGGTGTCTTGGGGGGGCAGGATATACAACAAAGAGGTCGCCTATTTCAGTTCCGGCCTCGGTTCCGATGAAATCGGTGAGCTGCTGCGATCGCAAGCTAACAGCCAACATGTCTGTCCAGACCGTGGATTTTGTTCTGCTTGAGCACGAGACACTACGGCTTCAAACGCTGAATCTGGGAGTGCTCACCCTAGGTAGCCATGTGCGAGCTTTGCGACTGTGACGTGCAAAGTCTTTTGTCAACTCGCTTCACAGATTATGACTTGGAGAGTGTTCCATCCGACCGAAGCACAGATTCATACAACTTGGATGATTTTCGAAGAGAGCCGGAGCCCGAGCATTGGAAGCCCGACGCCGTGTGGACTGCCGCCTTTGCGGCGGTGCGGTTCATCGCCAAGTGTCGGGTGCATCGAGCAGAGGCCCCAGGCTTGGATGCGCCCGCCGCACATCCAGAGCAAACTTGGATCGTTTTTGACTGGGATGACACGCTGATGCCCACGAGCTTTCTCGATGACTTGGACAGGATGATTCCCCAGAGAGCCTTTTCTGGGAGGCAGGGCTCAAAGCAGGCTGGGCTGCCGAGGGACTGCCCCTGTTTCGCAGCGATGGAGCGACATGCGGATCGTGTCCGCTCCTTGTTGCGGACGGCTCGCTCCTTAGGGAACGTGGCCATCGTTACCATGGCCGAGCGTGGCTGGGTGCCCGAGTCGGCGTCCCAGTACCTTCCAGGCCTGGACCTGGAAGTTCTCCTCTCTGAGCTGGACATCCCAATCCTCTATGGCCCTGAGTTTATGGACGGTGACGCCTCTCTGCCCGAGGGTGAAGGTGATGTTTACGTTGCATCGAAGCGTGCTGCCATGCTCGACTTTCTCAAGCAGGGTGCAGACAGCCCATGCAACTTGATTTCCATCGGGGATTCCGCGATTGAAAAGCATGCAGCCCAGCAGCTCTCGCAAACCCTGGGCACCAAGAACCCACAGTCACTTTGCAAAACAGTGAAGCTCATGACGGATCCCTCATTGAAGGAGTTGTCGACTGAACTGGAGATTGTGCAGATGTGCTTGGAGCGCTTGGCCAAACACTTCCAGCCTGTGGATGTAGATGCAGAGACGGTGGAGGAGCTGAAGTCTACTGTGCAGAAATTGCTGGCGGTATAACCGCCCGAACTTGCAAGGAAATCAATCCGCTGTACAGTGCGCTTGTATAGCCCCTGACGGCTCGCTGGACTCCTCTCGAGTGTACAGCACAGGACATCTCAGCTTGAGCCGCGAAAGCGCGCCAACCAATCAACCAATCAATATCAATCAATGCTAACCTCTCTTCGATCCGACTTGGATCGTTTTCCGAGACGAGCGAAGGCTATGCTCTCATGCTGAATCCAGATTTACTTGTCGACCTTTTTCCTGTCGGTGCTGTGTTTGGAGCAACCGGGGCCACGCGAGAGATTGCCGACAGCCCGACGGTGCTGGCACAGGCCAGGGCCCTCACATGTGCCAGGGCCGTGTGCGGGCTGCGAAGGCTCGCAATGCTCGCAAGACTCGCTTCCATGGCCGCTCTGCTCGTTGTTGCCACAATGCATCACGTGCGGAGCGGCGCGGATACTGCAAAACTGCAGGAAGTCCTAAGTCCTACAGACTCCTGCTTGCGTGTAGCTCGCTGTGACCTCAGGCTCCCGTCGCCAGCGCTGAGAAAAGGAGCGTCCCCCTCCCCGGCCCTCCCCCGCAGAAAGATCACCGTGAGTTTCTGTCATTTTTTGGGCCCGTGAAGGTCTGGCTACGACGGGGATCGTGCTGGTCCTGCTCTTGACCGGGCCAGGGATCCCAGGGCATCCCAGGGCGCCCAAGACGGCGAAGTAGGACTCGCCAACAGCAGATCTGACGAGGTCTCTCATGTTCTCCCGTGATGCCAACCGGCTCATCGTCAACCCGGCTGAAGCCCCGGTCAACGCTGTGAGGCTCCGGGCCTTGCCTCAAGCTGCGAATCGCGTTCAGGTGGAACAAATGATCCACAAAGTCAAAGCCATTCGTTGGGCCCTTGGGTGTTGGATGGTGTTGGGTTCTCGGGCCGATGGAAGATCGGCTGTCTGTAGCGCTGCAGGCGGCTCGTCATGCTCGCCCCTTACATGTCGTGTGACAGGTGACAATCCATTGATTGCCATGAAGATGGCAAACGAAGAGTACGACCCTCAACAGGATCAGCATGCATTCTGCCGGCCTGCTCTCCACGCCACAGGTTGCAGAAAAAAACTCGGGTTCGTCACAACAGCTTTGGGCAATTCTTCTGCCCGAACGACAGGGGTGACCGAAACGATGCGATAGTGTCAAAGTTTGGCAGAGAGCGGCAGGTTCAGGCAGCAGTTGGGTTGCCGGAAACTAATCTTGCAAACCGAAAGCACACCCGTAGAAGTCGTTGCATCAGCAAGACTGAGATTTCTAGAGCTTGCTCCTTCGCGTGTCCAGTAGCGTTTCGAGCGTCAGATCTAACTGTCTAAAGCATGATGCATGATTAGGCCGCACGGTTGTGAGAGCCCGAAGCTGGATTGATCTGACAAGCCCACAGACCTCGACCCTGCCTTGCCTGGAGAGTCTGGGTGTGGCTGCCGAAACCTGCAGATTGCCAAGAAACGCAAAACGGAAGAAGCCAAAGTACAATGCCAGGAGGGCATGAGATGATGAAGATGATGATGATAATGTTGATGATACTGATGCTGGTGAAGCAGATGATGATCATGATGATGACGTGAGTGCTTTTGTTGTCGGACCGGTGCTGTCGAGGTTCAAGCTGGAGGAGATCAAGAAATCCCGACTGCGCAGACAAGGCTATTTTCTGAGCGCCGAGCTCTCGGAGGTCTCGGGTTTAACCGCATTGATATCAAGTTCAATCTGGTTTCGCTGCATCCACCGCGTTTGGAGGATTTCCTATTCGATTCTTGTCTTCCCTAAGCTCCTAAACCCGAAACACAAAACTCCTAAACCCCGGTCCCCTCTAAAGCCTTAAACCCTCTCGCCTTAGCAATCCAGCCGAGGCAGTTCTACACTGGTGCACCTGCAAATGCTTATCTGTCCGGCACCCAGGGAGTTCAGGGTTTTTGGGGTCTATGGCTTGTCTTAGGGGTTTCGGGTTCCTAAACCCTAAACCCTAAACCCATCTGACTTCTCGGCTTTTTCCCAAGAAAGCATGGTTTTTGCCTGCGCAGCTCCAGCTGTTCTTCGCTCGGCCTTTGGCTTTACATGTCTTGCCGAGCCTGTAGTAGTAGTAGAAGTAGTAGTAGTAGTAGTCGTAGTAGTCGTAGCAGCGATGTACCAATCTCACGAGACGAGGTCAGGATATGTCAGGATGTCAAGCTGGCGACCGAAGAAGCAACTTGTGCAGTAGCCCGAAATCGCAACAGTTATCAGCATCGTAGCTGCAAGTGCGGCTTCTGCAAGCAGCTTGTATCTCTTGTCCTGGACCCTTGTGCGACACAGCAAGCCCTTTGATCAGTGCCACTCCTAAGCGTACTCGTGCAATTTGCAATGGCGTCGGAATCGGATGATGACCTTCCACCGCTCGTGACGGAGGATCCTGCCTTGCACGGGGCTCTTGGAGCCAGTTTGTTTTGCTTGAGACATTGCACAGTGTGGGGTCTTCGCGTGGCAGCTACATAGCATGGTTTTTGGCTGTGTTTCGAGCTACGGGACAAGACACTGTAGCTTGCCTCTGCAAGCTGTGACCTTGCTCCTGCGCTTCCTGCCACCTGCCTCCAGAAAGTCACAGGTCTCCTCTCTTGGGCATCGCAACGATGCAAAAAAAAAACGGTGTAGCTTCGCCTGAGCAGGATGGCGCAGAGGCGCCTGCCGAAGCCACTGCGAAGGCACGGCCAACGGCGGCGGCGTAGCACATGAAAAGGGCGATACTAGTAATGACCAACCGTCGTTTCGGCAGTCGTACATGTTTGTCACCTGCGGCGAGTGCTGCGGGTGGAATCACTGCTAGCACTGCAACCACCAATTCTGCTCCTCCGCTCCTCCTACTGCTACTGCTGATACTGCTGCTACGACTATTCCTCCTCCGTGATGAGGACAAGGACAGAAGGCAGTGCCACAACTCGTTCTCCTGTTGCCGGTGCGGCCGGCAAAGACACAATCTGTTCTCTTTCAAACGGCGGCTACGAAACCACCACTACAGCCGCCACAGCAAGCTGAGACTTTTGCTGCTGCTGCTGCTGCTGCTGATCCTAGATTGACCTTACTGTTTGTCGCTCCAGCGGAAACTGCTGCAGTGACTTCCTTTCAGAACACAGTCTGTGCTGACATTGAAAAGTCAGCACAGACAGTCTTCGAGAGGCCAGCCCGGCGCCCCAGCCGACGCCGAAGGCCGAGCCTCGCTGGTTTCTCAGTGAGGGATCCTGGCTGGGGGAGTTTGCTGGGGCCTTCCGGGAGCAGAGGTGGAGAGGAGCCCTCCGTGGACTACTACGGGGAAGATTCTGACCCGGATGATGAAGCCCTGCAAGCTGCACATCAGTTGCGCAGCTCGGCAGGGGAGTTCTGGACTCGCCAAGCTGTTCCCCCTACTACTTATGCTGATCCGTTGCGAAGGAGAGGCTGCTGTACAGCGAGCACGTGAAGCTGGCGACACAGAGGCTCGCTATGTGAGAGCGGCATGGCAGGACCAAGGAATGCTGAGCTAGGTCTGCCCTGCTTTCTGCAGTGCTCTGCAGGTCTCAGCTGGTGATGCTCTGCAAGCACTGATGAAAGAGGCCAATCAGAAGGGCATCCCAGCATGTCAACCCTGTGGCAACGCTACACCGTGTCGTCCTGTTGTTGTAGGCAGAAGAAGAGAAAGCTCCCTACAAGGAGCCAGATGCAGCTTGCCTGCACAGAGTGTGACATTCATACTGTTGCAGCTTGATGCTTGTCTTCCTTTTGCTCCAACCATTCTTCGCACGATGCAAGAGTCAACTTAGGAAACTACGAAAAGAATGGCTCCCGAGCTGCAAGCAGCAAACACCAGTGCAGACCATGAGCCTTCCATGCAGTGAGCTATGAGTATCAACACGCAGCTGTGCACAGATCTGAGCTGGCGAGGTGCAGGCCATCGCCAAGGATGATTTCGAAGAGTGTGAGGACTCTTTCTATGGCCCAGTGCCATGATTAACCCCAAACCCTAAATCGTAAACCCTAAATCTGTCTTAGAAGCAGCGTAGCTATGGCCAGCTGTGAGGACGCTCTGATGCAGGGAGCGGACGTCAACGCCGACTGCGGTGCCGGCATGTGTGCCCTCCACATGACGGCTCTGAGAGGCACCGGCCGAGGGGTTCCTTTAAGGGTTCTATTTGGGTACCATAAGTGAGGGGTTTAGGGATATTTAGGGTATAAGGGTTCATGGTGCTTGTCTGCTTTCATGCGCAGGAGAGATGTTCTTGACGGAGCTTCTGATTGCCCATGGTGCAAAACTTAACCAGCGAGACTTGAGCGGCAACACCCCGCTGCTTTATGCCTGCCACTTCTACCGGCAGCATGGGCGAGGGGTCGAGCCACTCGGAATGCAGCTGGGAGCCTTTCTTCTGACTTTGAGTCCCTTAGTTCACTTGTTTTTTCAAACTTTCCCATGATACATTTTGAGGTTGTGCGCCCAGCTGCTCTTTCACAAGGCTGACCCTCACTACCGGGTGAAGGATGGGAAGCTCGCGGGGAAGAGTGCGCTGGAGCTGATGGATGCTCAGCCAGGTCAGGGGACAGGTGGGCATGTTCTTTGCATTGTACAAAGCGTGATGGTTTTATAGTCTGCCGGTTGGATTGTAACATCAGTGCGAGCGCGACGTGTTGCTAAGCGTTATCGTGTGTCGCCGTGCGCAGAATCATCATGCATCACGGTGCGCTTTGTATATGCGCTTTGTAATACTGCTTAGGAGAAGGCATGTTTGGAGCCGAACACGGACGAGAGTGTGCCGCGGCAAATGCGTGCCATGATCCAGCTTGCGCTGGATGGTTCCGAGACCTCCATCGAGGCCATCACGAAAATGCTGCTTGGCTCGAGGGTCACGACCAGCAGGTTGAGAGAGAAGGTGTGCGAAACGGCTTGCACCGAGGTGGATCTCCATTAAGTCGGACAAGAAGAACAAGAAGCTTTTCCAAGTCTCCTCGAAGAGGGACAATTTTGAGTATGCGGTGAAGAGTGTGGCTTGGGAGCTGCCTGAGAACGTGAAGAACACTCAAGGGTATGCACCCGTGAAGTTGGACGTGCAGGCCACCAGCCTCATGGAGGAGCGCTTTACAATTCTTCAGGACTACTTGTTCAACGATGAGGGCGAGAAAGTGAAGGTGTACATCACTTTCCCCGAGCCGGCAGTCAGCAGTTTAAGCAAGAAGGAGGCCCCTTGGAAGTTCAGATTGGAGGTTCAGACATATTTTGAGTAACTTGTGGCATGTTTCAGATGCGTATGGCTCTACGAAACGAGGCGCTGGAGGTCAGCTTCGAGTACCAAGCTTTTGATCTCAAGTGGCTCGGCCATTCGCGAGGCTTTGGCAGACGAGCAGAGGGCCCGTCTGCTTGCATATGCTGAGCACAGCCCAGCAGCAGGTGCTTGTAGGTCCGATTATGTAATATGTACTCATGTACAGTTGTTCCCACTGTAGCGTGCGGGTGTCAAATGTCATTGATCATCATGAACCAGTTAATTGTAGCGTATGTGCCTTCGCATCGACATGCTTTCGTACAGAGTAAGGCATGAATCTATAATACGCTGGAGCACATCATACCACATCGACATGCCTTCCGGTCTAGTCTTGCAGCATAGTACAAAGTCTCATTCAAGTAAACACTCTATTGCAATAGGATATGTATATATTTGCATAGCACACACTATGTATATATGTGTACATATGCCTGATGTATGTATGCATGTATGTATGTATGCACGTATGTTTGATAATGTGTGTGTATGTATACGTCTGTATGTGATTCTGTAACCGTTTAAATACACAATTATGCAATTATGTATGTGCGGTTGTATGTATGTATGTATGTATGTATGCATGCATGTGCATGTTTATGCACATAGAGTGGTGCAGAACTAAACCCGCAAGCTTAAGCCCCAAGCGTTCCACAGACAGGGGGGCGGGGTGATGACCGTCTGGAATCCCAGTTCGCTCCCCCGCCCGAACCCTACATATACATGTGTGTGCCATCCAGAGATTATCTCTCTGTCTATCTAGCCACCGCTGTACCTGTTTGTCAATATCTATCTATCCCTATCCGACCTATCTATCTATTTTCCATCTATCTATTTTTTATCTATCTATCTATCTATCTATCTGTCTATCTACCATCCATCTATCGCTGTGTTCATTTATCCGAGCCTGCCTACCGACCGACGACTGACCGACATCCGGATTGACAACCCACCGACGGAACCGAGCTGGCTGCATAGCGACCTAACTACCTACCTGCCTCCTATCTACCAAAGGTTACTTATGCACAGCATACACATATGCGTGCATATGTGCATATGTTTAACATTTCAGCCAGCCAGCTGACGCCCGATAGAACACCCCTGCCTGTGCTCGGGTGAGTTCCGAAATCATGGCTTGCAAGATCCGACCTGCGGCTTCTCTTAGTGCTAGGATGACACTCGAGGCTGCGAACAGGCCAGGAGAGCTACCGTCTGCGGATCGAGCCCCTCTACGGCTCGGTGGAGGTGGACCAGTGCCTGGTCCTCCAATGGGTGCGTATTGGGGTTCTTTATATGTGGATCCTACTGTTTAGGGTGTATGGGATCTTAGGAGCAGTGCAGGTAACCTTTAACCTTTTTGGGGTATTGTTATCGCCATCGCTACAAAAAGCTATTCTTGAGTTCCCTTCAGGATAGGACAAGCAAGGTATGCCCAGTAGTTTCTTTCTGAGAGAGTTTGAGTAATGCGGCACTTCAGAGGATAGAGTACGGATAGGTTAGCTTCCCAAGATCCCAATACCCCGTAGTTAGGGAATATGTTTCGAACTATAGAGGGCTCGAAGGTTATGATTTGAGGTATTTTACTTGAGTAATGAAGGGGTATTGGGCTTTCTGCGTTTCATCGCGCCTAGCAAAGTTAGGCAGACCTGCTTGGCACTTATTGCCGGTCAGGTGCAAGTATCGTGCATCCGAGTCCTCCAAGAAGGCCGGCCTGTGCGGCAGAATTTGGAAGCAGTTTCTATCTTTCGGGCTGAGCAGGTGACAGTCACTCTTGCGAAGCGGCACAAGAACCGCGTCTGGTCAACTCTTCAGAAGCCTCGATGAGACAGCCACGTGCCCATCACCAGCTCATTGGCTGGTTGTGGACGGCGATTTGCTTCAAGCAGCCTGTGTCGACCGTGTCTCTGGTTTGTGAGTTGCAGTGTCATGTACAGCGAGACGGTGGCTTGGACATACCAGTGTCTCATCAGCATTGCAAAAAGAGTTGCTTTGCACGTGCAGAATTTCAAGTTCGAGTCTGCGAAGCATCCTGCATGCACTGCACTTCATAGAAGGCGGCACTTGCAGGGGACTTTGGGGAAGGAATGCTGAAGCTTCTCCATGTACTCCCAAGTGAGTTTCCGCTGGAATCCTTCAAATGAGTTGCAGGCAAGCAAGGAAGGACCAATGGAGACGGTGATCTTGGAAAAGACCATTGTTAAGCATGCGGCTCAGTCACTGGTTCATCGAGCTCGGCCTTCAAAACGCTGCGGGGCCAAATTTGACCTCTGGCCACATGCCCACAGATTCCGGTATCACAATCTAGGTTATACTTGAACTACTACCAACACTAGCAGGAAAAAGGGTGGTGGTGGCAATGACCATAACAACAATGATGATGATAATCCCACGCCTGCAGGTTGGGATCCCTGCTGGCTCTCGGCTTTGGTGAGGCCCGGAGAGCACCACGCCGCCTTCCTGCGATGTTCACCGGCCCTTGTGCTCACTGTGTGTGGTTGTGTTGCTGTAAAGACAGGCGGGCGCGAATATCATCTCGCACAACATGAAAGGCACGGGGAGCGAGAGCGCACACAACATGACAGTTGCTTTCAGCCTGTAGTGCTCGTCACGACACTTTGCTGCAGTTCGGCTGTCTGGCCGCAACTCCGATTGTCTTCGTTTTCTTTGTTGTTGTTCGGGTTTCTTCCTTAGCTCCTTGCTCGGTTTGCGGTTCTCTGCAGGCGGAACATTTATTGTAGCTCAGGCGTGATTTCCAGACACGTGTGTCGTTGAGTAGAGAACCCAAGTGAAGCTCACTTCTGAGATCACCCTCAAAAGGATCCCTACCCGTGATGGTACTATACTAGCACTTCTATCATAGTAGTCCATAAGGGTAGTGTCAGTATAGTAGTCTGGATGGTACTCTACTAGTACTTCTATCATAGTAATAGTAGTCCATAAGGGTAATGGCAGTCTAGTAGTACTAACGTAGGCTCGCGCTCACTTGTGAGGCTCCGACACCGCGGGCGTGAACGCCGTAGTTCCTGGCCTTCGCGTGGATGCCGACGCTTGGATGCATGCTTTTAACAAGCCAACCAGGTATAATATAATATAATATATTCATATAGTATAATCTAATATAATATAATATAGTCATATAATATCATATAACATAATAGAATATAATGCAATATAATATAATAAAACGTCTAAAGACTCTGAACGCCTGTGGGTGCCGCTAACCTCCTAGGCCGGAAATCGAGTCTAGACCGTGCGATGAGAGCCAAAATCTTGAGGTAATCGGCGTGTGCAGAGTGCTGGATTTCAGCATTGCCACGGAGGCCACAAGGGCAATCATGCTAATTTGGGGCTTAAGGTAACACCAGCTCAAATTTTCAGCCAGAGCGAGTGAGGGATTCGCCAGAAGCGACCAAGTGTTGGAACTTCAGCCGGCATAGCTGCTCCTTTCGAGGCGCATGCTTGATTGGCGCCTTGCGCCAGGTTCTCCAAGGACGCATCATGACCTTTGTCAACCAGATCGCAGAGATCATCCATGGTGTCGCTGATGAGTTCTACGGAGTGGCCCTGGCTTGGCTCGGTTCCCACCTTCGGGATTTTTTGACGACTACTTCTGCTGCTGCTTCTCCAGCTTTGACAGTTGCTGTTACTGTTGCTGCTGCTATTGCCATTACCCTTACCAGTGCCATTGCCAGGCCTGTCGTGCTCCATGTGGCCGTGCATTGATTCGTGTTAGTTGTCCTTGATAGGTTTTTCGTCTGAGCGCTACGGCAGCCAGGCACCGAACAAGAACAGCGGCGAGCAGTTCCTCGTCATTTGGCGCATGGACAACAACGCCCAGGTGAGAGCCTCCTTGGTGCTGAAAGATTCGGAGGGCCAGGTTTGTGGAAGCACGTGACCCAGCAGTTTTGTTGTTTGGCTTCCAGGTAGCAGCATGGTGCGGCAGATTTGTGAAACTTGCCGATTGTCGAAGCACTCATTGCCGACATGCCTGCAGAAGCATGAGGGCTCAAGGCATCCACATAGGCAGTTTAGATGTAGGGTGGCCGAAGCCGCCGTCCTGGAAAGCTCTAAAGAACCCTTTTTCGAGAGGCTCATGAAATTCTTATGGCAGGCATCCTTGGACTGTAAGAAGGCATCATGGAAATTAGGTCGTAGGCGCCTTCGTGGCAGGCTTTCGAGCGGAGGAGGATAGCGGAGATGTCGATCGTTGCTTTCTGCAAGATCCTAGGCACGGTCCCCAGGGGTCGGACAAGGGTTCCTCCTTTTAGGGTTTAGGAAGAGGGGGTTGAGGGTTGCGTAGGCGCTGGCCGGCACCTCAGTCCGTGCTGAAAAGGGTTTAGGGTTCTCGGTTTCAGCGGGACAGGTCCGCGGTCCTGGGGGAGAGTTGCCATGTTGTTTGGTTGGGATCGGGGCTGGAGCCAGATGCATAGGCTCGGATCGGTTTGTGGAGTTAACATAGAGCCACCCGACAATGCCCTTCCAATCCAGGAGGGTTCCATTTGAGTTTTCGGGATCTTTCGGGTGCGGCTGAGAGGTCGGACCCCTGGGCTCCAAAAGCAAAGAGACTTGGGGCTTTCAAGATTTAGGCCTTGGGGGATTCAGCCTGGAGCCCCTGAGATCATGAGATGCATCCTTTCGAAGGTGCTCTCCATCGCTCAGCGCTTCTGGCAGGTGGGGCCCTCCAGGAGACTTGAGAAGGGCAGCTGGGGTTGGAGGTTTGGGGTTTAGGGATGCAAAAAGGGAGAATTAGGGCCAGGCCTGGCTGCAAAAAGGGAGAATAAGGGCCGTCGGAAGTCGGTCTCCTGCTTCCGCTGTGTGCAGATTACCGATCGCATCCTGGATTGCAATATCGGCTCTCCAGAAACGGCAGGACACCCAAGCCTTGTCGTTTTGTCCCTTTGGAGCTCTGTCTTCCACCTCCGGCCCTCCCCAGGTCAGCTTTCCTCTCAGACACGGGTCAACCTGAGCTTTGGCCTGCATGCTGGCTGGGCTATTGAGGCGCCGGGCTTTAGGCTTCGGAGCCGTAGTCCGTAGGCAGGTTTGGGTGATCCAGTGTCCCCACTTCTCTTGGCGGACAGGGTGCCGTGGGCAGCGAGTTCAAGATCGATGCTTCATACGTCTCCCCGAACGAACGGACCCCGGTGTTGTATTTCACGAGCTGCCAGAATTCGACCCAAGCCTTGCTGCCACTGAGGTCAGCATTGCATCGAGCGTTGAACGCTGCACTCAGGCATAGAAGCGGCTCAAGTCTGCAGAGCTGGCCTGCGGACAAGCGCTGTGCAGGTCTACGGTGTATCTGTCATCGTGGCGCAAAGCTGCATGGAGCTTTGCTCACCAGAGGACCGGGGTGGGTTTTTCCCTGGCTGCCTAGCGGTAAGAGTCTGTTGATGGTAGCGAGTTGGGATATGGCATGGAGAGGCTGAGAAAAGCATACCATGCACCAACCTTCGTGTTCGGCCTTTGACCAGTTGTTGGCGAAAAGCCGACTGATTGACCGCGTCCTCATCACCGGTTCGCCAACACCAATGCAGCTCTATTGCGTGAGGGGGCCAAGAGAAGTCTCTGCAGAAGTTTTCTGAATTGAATGCACCGGCTCTCAGCGTGCAGCTCCAGGTGGACCTGGACTACTACAGCCAGAAACCCAGCGTGCCATTGTGCTAGACGAGGCCGCTGTGGCTGAGGCCTTCCTTCAAGATCGCGATTCCAATTCCGAACCACATGTCCCCACTGCCATCCAATGCAAACGTTGTATGCATATCGCGGCTGTTGAGAAGAGTGCATGCATTCTCTGAAAAGGATGTAGGGCCTCCTGAACCCGTGTGATAGTGCAGCGGAAGACGGCGAAAGAAGTGCGCAGAACTAGTCGAGGTTGCCGCAGTGCTCCTTTTCCAATCTGGGTGGAGTCTCCGGTTTGTCGTTTCAGTTTCATATAGCTCGAGGTCTGGAAGTGGACAATTCGCCGGCGCCACAAGTTCCTCTAAATACGTCAGGGCACTCAGCTGCAGCTGTTTCCACTGTACTCTTTCGGATGCTGTTGCCAAGCTGCCCGTACATCGGCAACTAGTAGTACTTTAGAAATGGCTTCGCAGGAAGAACCGCTACCGAGCACGGCAGTTCATCGAGTCGCAGAAGGTGCAGAAGCTGGGCAAGGAGCACCCCGGTATTTGTCATGAGGAGTCAGCATGTTCACACACCGAGTAGCTACCAATTGCTTTGCTTTTGCTTGCCAGCTTGTCCACAGGTTTCGGCGACAGTTGCGGAAGAAACAGAAGTCGTGATGCCAGGACTTCCAGATTGTCATGGCTTTCGAGGAAGATCCGGCAATTCACGCGATGCGACAGAGGTTTGCCACTGAATTCTGAAGTCTGCGACAGACGGCCTTGCAGGAGCCGCAAGCGAGAATTAGTTCTGAATCGAATGGTTGCGAATGTCGAGGTACACCGTTGACTTCTTCCAGCTGTTCAACATGGGGCGGGGCACCCAGAGGCAGTTCTGCGCTGTGTGGCGCCTGCGCTGCTCGACTTCTGGTCTTTCCTCCGCACTTGCGAGAAGTAAGTCGTGTCACCTGTCCTGCTAGAGGTACCAAAATTATGCACAGGGTGAGTGGCTCGTGGCTCGACGCATGCTGCGGGAACCTGAGAGGTGCTGCCTGCGTTTGCTGGCTGCACTGTTTTGCTGCAGAGGGCCACAGTGGCTTCAGCCGAGGATGGAAACCAAAGACTTGCTTGGCGTGGAAGACGGCCCATCAGTGGCTCTCCTTCGCTACATGGAGGACGGCTCTCCCGCCTTCCCCGGTGGTCATCAGCCTTTGTGCATGTACGGAGGATCCGCATCAGTTCGAGGCACCGAAGGACTGGCACTCCATGAGGGATCTGTGCCAGCCCCGAGGGAGATGTGGTAACGTGGGGACCCGGGGAACGTGGAAGTGAGGGTTTTGAGTGCCATTTGCCAAATTGAGGTCGAGCTTGCTGTGATGGAAAGAGCAGTGTTTCACCGTAGTAGAAGTAGAGAGGAGGGCACGCGGGAGTTTTCTGGAGGCAGGGATGATTGGATGCTGGGAGTCTCAGTTGCTTACACAATGTTGCGCCTTTGCCGCGGCCCAGCCGCCGCTTTCCGTTAGAATCTTTGCCCAGCAACTTCTGGCAAAAAATTGCCCAGACTGCTGTTGTATCGGATGTCGAGTGTCGACTTCAACCCTAAACCCCAAAACCCTGTTTTTGTCCTCATACCGCACCTTCATCGGAGCCCTGAACGGAACCCTCACAGGTCGACCCAGGAGAAGCCGGTTCACCCTCCGCTCCTCGGAGTTTCTTTGCGCTTCTTAGGTTTCACAGAGAGGGCCGAGAGGTGCTTCCGACATCCATCTGCAGCTCGCAAGCCCCGGTGAAATCCTGGCACGGTCTATGTTCGGTGAGCCCTAAACGTGTTCATGAGCTGCACAGGATCCTTGCGCCTGCTAATCCCAGAGGTTGTGTCTTGCATTATCCCATTGCGCCTAAGTGCTGCGTAGTTCCTGCCGAACATGCCCCCACGCACATGACACGAGCAAATCTGCAGACATCCAAGATTCCCAGTTTTTCGCAGATGGACGGTTGAACACAATCCAGTTGTGGGCAAACTCATGCTGCATCGGGAACTTCGGGGCTTTGAGAGAACAGATCTTTGGAAAACGTTCTAAGGAGGCTGTGTGCTCGAAGTTTCCGTGAGCATTCGCAGAAGCCGCCATCAAGGGAACGCGTGCCGAGTACCTTCAGTAGACAGGTGTTGTAGACTTAGTCGCAAAGTGTGCTTTCGACATTTAGAAGGCAGCGGCAACAGCCTCAAGTAAGCCTAACGTGAAGTATGAAGACCTACCTCAAACAAGGCCGGTAACTAGAAACGTGTGCCGCTGCAGCTTCGACGAGTTCTGAACTGGCACTGCCTTTGCACCCGTCAGGGCCTGGAATGTCTCCAGTCGCCAGAATCTTATGCGAAAGTCCCAAGTGGAACCCACCTGGAGATTCTGGTCCTTGAAGGCCGTAGCTCCGCCCTCGCGCGAAGTGCGATGGAGAATGTTTGCAGACGAGCAGCCTGCTCGACGGCCGGATGGCAGTGGAAGCATGACAGGAAATATTTTGTCTGCTGCCTCTATGACCATTGTTCGATGAATACAGAATACATCATGATTACATGCACAGGCCCTGAGCCTGGACATCCGTATTTGGTGGGAGATGTTTTAATGTTGCTGGCTGTGGTCGCTTGCTTTTGTTATTCGGGCCCTACCGTGCGAGTTTTGGTTATTGCTATTGCTCATGGATTGAATGGCTGTAAGGTGCAGACTCAAGGGTGGGCATGAGTTTCTGGCTCGCCTACTTCCTGTGTAACTTGCTTTGAAACCATCAAGCCTCACTGAAACTGCCATCTAGCTGGCCTCAACTGGTTTCGGCCTCGCTTACGTGGTGCAGGGCCGAGTGGGCCACCGAACGTGCGAAAGTCTCGGACTTCTTGCGTGCTTGGTGGGTTCAGGGGATGCGGTTGAGCGAAGCTTGCTCTGTGTCGGAGGCGAGGTGGCTCTCATTTGCCGAGTTGGGTGCTGCTCTCACGGAACCATAATATTATTTTATATTATATTATATTATATTATATTATATTATATTATACAAAAAATATTATATTCCGTTTGAGGTTTTTGAAGAGGTCGGGCCGAGTCGAGAACCTGCAGCCACCAGCTCTCAAAAGCCATGCGGCCCATCACAGGGTGCCATGACGGTCCCAAACGCCTGCATAGGGTTTAGGGTTTAGGGTCTAGGGGACGTGCACACCTGCTGCCAAGTGCTTACCTGGCTGAGACTGCAGCTGATCGCGAGTCGAAGAGTCGAAGAGTCCTACTTTCAGGGGATATATCGGTTTCAAAAAAGGGGGATATATCACGAACGCAGTACCCCTTGTCGGGTGTTGGCTGGCATTCCAATTTTGCTCCATGTCGACGCTGAAACCGGCCCTGCCAAGAGGGGAGTCCGAGCTGGGTCCGGGCCCGGTGCGGATTGGGCATTGATTATGATAGGTTCTAAAGTATTGATTATATATTACCAGTGGTATGTGCATATATATATATATGTTTATTAATGTGTTTCATAGTTGTGTATTTATATATATATATTTATATATATTTATATTTATATATATACA